CCCCCCCCCTCCCTCCCTCTTGTATACAAGTCCAAACATTGTTGTACCTTTGTACGGTTGAATCTCAAGAGGTTTTATATATTATATGTACGCTATACATGTAAAGTTTTTTGAGGGAAGGGGAATTGGTTTGGAAAGAACACATGGATGCATGGAAAATGAAGTGGTCAGCGCACAAAAATGCTGGTAATTATATCACTCCCAACTCATTCTCAGGAATTGAAAACCATTTATCTTGTTTTACATTAATTTTATCTTTTTTTTCTTCAGATATTGTTTTTATTTCGACCATATTAATGCAGACCTTCCACTCATCCCGATTTTTTCGGGATATCCCGATTTTTTGGCCCCAAATCTCAAGCATCGCGATTTTCCCTATTTCGATTGCGTGTATCCATATTTTTTGTCCCAGTCTGCTGTTGTGCCGGGTTTTCCTTAAAACTTACTCTGCCTTCTTTATCGCGGGAAGCGCCCGTTAAACTTTTTGATTTTGTCAGTAGTAACTTAGAGCATAATTTTCTGAAATCTCAATGCCGGATTTAGTTGACTTGCCCCAGGTTTGATCTTTGCCCGCACTCAGAATTCTCTGATGAATGATAGCCTGGTAACTATTACAATTTGGGACATACAAATGATGGGTAATACTCGTAGTTCCGCTGTTACTTTCAAAACAAGCCTTGTCCGAGGTCTGGTAACTGTGCATTCACTTCAAACACTCAGACGAGCAACAGTCGTTTTAACCCTTTAGCAACTAACTGCGCTGACAAGACTAACATATGGCCGTTGTCGTTGCTTTAGTCTGAACGCATATGAGGGATAAAAGATTTGTTGGTACAATTGGTCGGTCGGCCGCCGCCGTTATCCTAGAAGTGGCTGGAATGACTGTCGCTCATCTGAGTGTTTTGTGTGAATGCGCTGTTATTCGGATCCGTCAGTAAAATTGTTTCAATCGCGTGTTCGCTTCACGAGACATGGCTTCATCGTGTGAGTTCCACGTGTCGGGAACCGCCTGTTGACGGGGTCAACTTAAGTTCATGTGCACTGGTTAAAGTGTCTTTCGGGACTTATTGGGTGTTAGACTCGTGGACTAGGAGTGCTTGACGTGATTCTAAAAAAACACACACACGCACATGCAGTAAGTCAGCTTGGCAGTCGCCTTGGTGATTTGCTGTTGATCCCGATTTATTTTACCAAATCCCGATTTTTTCCCCCCTGAGATCCTGATTTTTTCCCCCCTGAGATCCTGATTTTGAAGTTTCATAGAGTGGTAGGTCTGTTAATGCCAGTGGTCCGTAAAAGTAGTGCTTCAGGATGTGGTAGTGATCATGTAAAATTGTCTGATGCTTTTTTGTTTCAATGTGAGGAGGAAGTTTTTATGTTTGTAAGAAATTTTCTGAACCTTTTCTTATTGGTAGCGTCCTTGAACCTGAGCTTGCTACATTTTGTAAGCTCTTCTAGTTCACAGCTTATATTGCTGTTGCCGTTTCCATAATTATAATCTCTGGCTACCTCAGTTTAGAGATACTAAAAGACAACATATCTGACCGAACTAAATTGTGCTCTGATTAGACTTTGTCCAATTTTTTGTCAGGTGGAAGGCAGTCCGCCGATATTGTCAACTGGTTGAAGAAGAAGACTGGCCCACCTGCCATAGATCTGTCCGACAAAGATGCTGCAAGCTCTTTCAGAGAAAAGGAGGAAGTTGTTGTCATCGGCTTCTTCAAGGTATGTTAACGGTTGTTCTGGGAATTGGTTGAGATGGCTGAAAAATTCTGCTTTTGGTAATCCCTTTTTCCTTGGCAGGCTGGTGATTGAGGTGGTGATTTTCTGAATAAATTGGGAATTTTTTATATATGAAATATTTTGTAATGTATTCCTGCTTACATTTATTTATTTAAAAAAAAAATCTTTTGTGTGTCATATTGCACTTAATATAAAATTGTCTTGACACAAAAATATGCATTAGACCATATGAATTGTAAATGGAGTCCTTGCTCGCGTGTTTCCATGGGGTCCAATAAAGTTCAGGATTTTGTTTTCAAAAGTTTGTTGGCTCCTTTATTTTTGAGTTCTTAAAGATTTTCCTAGCATCTCACACTTTTATTTTCCTTATGTACAGTAACTCTCATGCCATTATGGCTTTTCTATTCAGTAATACAAGTTAATTAGCTTTTGAAATATGAATATAAAGTAGTTTGCGGATGGTTGGAGGGTGCTTCTGGCTGGTTGTGCTTTTCTTTCCTTTCCCTTTGTTACCTTTTCCCTGAGCTAAATAATGCTTGTGTTAATTTTGCTTCTCTGTTTGGAAAGAAGTTTTAAAAGGGGCTGAGTTATTTTCATTTCTTCTCCCCAGGATCAAGAGTCTGATGATGCTAAAGAATTCCTCAAGGTTGCCAGTGCCATGGATGATCTGCCATTTGGTATTACTTCTAACAGCGAAGTCTTTGCTGACAACAAAGTGGAGAAAGACGGAATTGTTCTTTTCAAAAAGGTATGTCTTCTGAATTGCGTGCTTGTAGTTGGCATGGCTCTTGCTGAGTTCATGAAAACATGAGAGAGACAGTTTGGGTGGTTTAAGCATAATATACTGTTAGTGGTGTTAAATTTTCTTTTAGTCCCATTGCAAATGTTCTTTTTGTCTTGTTTCTGAGGTTGTGTTTGTTTTTAAAAAAGTAAGGATACTTGTGCAAGTCTAGTTGGGATCTCCATTGGGAGCTTCTTTGACCTACTACCCACATCCGGGGTTTCACTCTGTGGGACCAATATGGGGTGGGACCAATATGGGGGGGTTTAGCCTTGATGTCATGAGTGAAAGATGATTTTGTACTAAAAAGGATGCCTTCACTGGACCTTTACCGAATCTTTGAAAATAGCGTAATATGTGAGAAGTAAAATGAGACTAACTTCTGGCCAAAATGGTATAACTAGTTAGAGAAAAGTGGCACTTTTCTGTAGCCGTGCCTGAAAATTTGATAAAAAGGTCTACATGTAGAAGATTTTTGACTGCTGATTTTGTTTCAGCAAAAGTAACTTCTGGTCTGCATGTGTTTGATGTTGTCCTTGATCTGGTTCCAGTTTGATGAGGGACGCAACGACTTTGATGGTGAGGTGAAAGAAGCTGACATCCGCACATTCATCTCAAGCAACAGACTGCCTCTTGTTATTGAGTTTACCCAGGAGGTAAGTTCGGATGGTTGATACCCATAGGACGAGATCTTTGATCTATGCAGGGTTATAGTTATCGTAACATGGGCGAAGTTATTGTTGAGGGGATTTGCAGCTCAGCTGTATTTGTATGGACATGGGTGTACCTTGTAATAGCAATGCCAATCGCCGGCTGCGCCTTGGGGCGGAAATCGGCCTCCGCGCGAGGGGTAATTTTGGGCCGCTCGGAATCAGAAGTGACTCTCTTCTAAGTATAGTTACGGGAAAACTCCAGGACGAAAATAAATGAAACTCGGCGACCAATCAGAGGAAAGGTTAAACTAACGACATGCCAGCGTACAATCCCGAACGAGTACTAGAACCGGAGATATTGCTGTGTTTGTGCGAATTTGCTCTGCGGTTCGAAAACTAAGCGGAGCTGCGGGTTGATCGCCGACCACACAAGCGCCCTACATGTCTTCTTTATTGCTGTAAAATTTCAGATCTCTGCGTTTAGTAGATTTTACGTACCAACTTAAAATTACCACCCATCCATTGATAAAACACTAGAGCTGGAACTAGATCACGCATTCCAAACGCGAGGTGCCGGCATGCAAGAGGCGCGTGATTGCTAGGCGGCATGTGATTGGCTTCCTATAACTAAACAGGTCACCGATGACTACATCGCAGGTTTTCCCGATAGCGCTTTACTGAGTTTTAGAAGGGGTGATCGCGTCGCGGTAAAAACGATGTCACGCAATTCAACAAATTTCACTCAAATATCACTCTTTAAGATCCAAAGTAATAAAGACATCGAAAAAGTGATAGCAGAACTAGATTCTGCTCTAAAAATCACATGAAGATGCCAAGTTTCATTCATATGCTCCAATTCATTACTGACTTATGAACAGTTTTTCCTCAAAATACATCAAAACATGTCCCACATTTTGGCGATTTTTTTCCTATATGAAAGTCCTCCAAGATTTTGCAAACAAAAATCCCAATCACTTTTATTTATCAATGGATTTTTAAAATTTAAAAACCATAGTTCTTAGAATTTACTGTATTTTCATTTAAGCCCATTTTAAAGCAATTTGGATGAAAATTTAATTTTTCATTGTCATTGCTACTTGTAATGAGAAAAATAGGGTTTTGTGGGTAGAAGCAACCTTTGTCCTAAGTGTATTGCGAGAAAGGATAGAAAATGCACAAGGGGGCAAATGCTGATAATGAAACCAATCTATATGCTTTTTTTCTAAGGCAAAGCTGCTTCTGCTTATGTGAGCCTGAAATGCTGTCAAGTCTGCATAAGTGCCGTAGTACTTGTAACAACCAGAGCATTAAAAAGGATTGTCTGGCGGGATCACTTATAAATACAACAATGGAGAGACAAAGGAAGTACATGGGATGCTTTAGTGGACATAAAAGCCTTGAACATTCTGCTGGTACTAGAAGAATAAAAGGCAAAGGAGGCAGAAGATGAAAACCTAACTTACTTACAGAACTTGGATTTGATAGATGGTGGGAAAGGCCAGGTAATGTTTTTTTAAGAGCTTTACAGCTGAGAAATGAGTATTGAACCATGATTGCCAATGTGTTTCACATCTGGCTTTTAAAGAAGAAATGTTAGGGGATGAATTGATACTCTCAAGCCACTTTTTTTTTTTAAAAAAATCCTTCTGGTAGCCGAAAGTATGTATATTTAATGATTTTTGCATATTACATATCAAAATTTTTCATGTTTTCTGCTTTCAGTCTGCCCAGAAGGTGTTTGGCGGAGAAGTTAAGAACCACATCCTGATGTTCCTGAAGAAGGAAGGCAGCGAAGATGTCATCAAGGGATATGGTGAGGCTGCAGCAGAGTTTAAGGGAAAGGTAAGCTCAACATTTTTTGCTACTCTGGCTTCAAGTTTCTGATAGTTAACATGTGTATAGAATATGATAGTCAGAGGATGCTGTAATAGGTCCTGCTTACAGTCCCATCAGCCATTAGTGTTTGTTGCTTGTTTTCCACCTCTTCAGTGGTAAAAATTAATAATTTGACATTCAAATTTTGTGGCAGTAACATAGCTGCCCACTGTCCCGGGCCATCCGTATTTTGTACGGATTTTCTTGAAAAATCGCAGTTGTCCCGAAATACAGAATTTGACTGATGGTCCCGGAAAATAAAAACTTGGCAAACCATACTTCTAAAACAGAAAAATTAGCCTTCTGTTGCTCGGGAAAATGACGAAAATTCGGGACCCGAGATTCCCAAAAAATTCGTGAGAGTTGGCTTGGCAGGTGTGCTGTTTTGACAAGGAAGTGGCTATCCTCACCCGGGGTGAGAATATACGATTGACCTCTCACCCCGGGTGAGACTTGCCACCGTTGGCTATTCTCACCCGGTTTGAAACAAGACCTGCTTTTCTTAATTTCAG